GTTAGGAAAGGTCATTTATTACTGTTTAGTAAAAACTCAGTTATGAGACCCTTTAAATATATATCCTTGGGTCATATGCTTGGGGGATGATTGCCAACATGTATATTGGGGGTTAGAGATAAAGGAAGTTTCCAAAGAAATTTTTATATGTTAAAGTAGATTTACAGGATCCTGGGGGGTTGGGATAATGTTGAGCTAAGATTGCCTTTTGCCCTTAGCAAAGTATTAACATCTAGGCAGCTGAGTGCCTAGAGAAATGCCATTCTGCCTGTTTCAAGGACTTGTTAGATAGTAAGACAATTTAATAATTTTTCTCCTGCCTTTGTTCCCACAGCACTTTTCATTATCCCCCATGATCATTACCCACTCTTCTTCAGATCAGATTTCTAGATATTCTGATTTAAGTGTCTTTGGGAGGATATTTATTCTTCAATCTTTCTAAAAGTGAATATTCCACCATTTTTGATAACCCCTTATCTCTAGGGCACAACATAATGCCTAGAGTATATCATCCAGCAGTAAATATTAGTTTGATGAGTGTAAGTGATTTGGGAAGCAAGGCAAAAGAAAAAAATAATACATTTTCTTACTGCCTACAGCCCATTGGTAAGCCCTTTAAACAAATACTGAGTAACCTTCCTCTGGGAGCTCAGCGGCCTCAATGTTAATACTTCGCTAAGGGCTAAGGGCAAAAGGCAATCTTAGCTTAACATAACCTTCCTCTGGGAGCTCAGCTGCCTCAATGTTAATACTTTGCTAAGGGCAAAAGGCAATCTTAGCTTAACATTATTCCAACACCCCAGGATCCTGTAAGTCTACTTTAACATATAAAAATTCCTCTGGAAACTTCCTTTATATCTACCCCACAAGATACATGTTATCATCCTCCAAGCATATGACCCATCTCTCCACATCTGAAGGGTCTCGTGACTGAGTTTTTACTAAACAGTAACAAATGACCTTTCCTAACAATAACAAGCCGCCTCAGGATCCTGGAAACCTTGTTTCCAAAATACCTGGGAGGCTTATGCTCTCCCTAACCCCCTCCCAACTTGAAAGTATATAATGGGCTGCTCCTCAGGACCCCAGTGCAGCTATTTCTGCCCATGCATCCTGTCCCTGTGCTTTAATAAAACCATCTTTTTGCACTAAAGATGTTAAAGAATTCTATCTTGGCTGTCGGCTCCAAAACCCAACATCTTCCCTACATCATAAATTGACTCTGAACAGGATTTCTAGCAAGATTTCTCCCAACTCATTCTGCATGTTAAACTGAGAGTAGAGATAGGTGTCCTAAGCATCAGAATTTGTTTCCTATGTGTGTATGTGTTGCTTTAAAGTAGTAATACTTGCTAGTTTCCTTATCTTGAACATCTGCATAAAGACAGTTTGTAACAAGCCTAGAAACATCTATTTATTACTTCAGTAATTTACTTCTCTATTGAACAGATTATCTTCATTATTGTTCCTATTATATTTTACTGAATTTCAAAAATCTCCACATCTTTTGCTTGATATTTTCTTAAGTTTTTGTAGCATTTCAGTTAATCATGCACATTAGGGAGGTATATGAGTCATGGGAAAATGTAAAGTCCCTTGAGAAACAGTGTTTTCTAAGCTTTCGTTAGGTACCCTATAACGTGGAAGTGGTGCTAGAGCTCCTTAGAGGCCCATGTAAAGTGTATATATATAAATAACTGTCCCTTCCATTCAAATTTGTCCTCTTAGAGGAAAAATTGTATATGTTAAAACCGTATTTTTTAGTTTGTTACTCTGCTTATTGTGCATTAATAGATAAGATTTGCCTTCAATTATTTTACCTGGGGTTATCTTCAGATATATACTATTAACATAAGAACTCCGTATATCATATAATCATTAACTAAATTTTTTTTTCACTAAAGAGTGAAAAGCCAGAGACAGATATGAAGTTTCTTTTTTCTTTTTTCTTTTAATTTTTTATTGTTATGTTAATCACCATACATCACATCATTAGTTTTTGATGTAGTGTTCCATGATTCATTGTTTGTGCATAACACCCAGTGCTCCACGCAGAACATGCCCTCTTTAATACCCATCACCAGGCCAACACATCCCCCCACCCCCCTCCCCTCTAGAACCCTCAGTTTGTTTCTCAGAGTCCATCGTCCCCCATGGTTCGTCTCCCCCTCCGACTTACTCCCCTTCATTCTTCCCCTCCTGCTATCTTCTTCTTTTTTTTTTTTCTTAACATATATTGCATTATTTGTTTCAGAAGTACAGATCTGTGATTCAACAGTCTTGCACAATTCACAGCGCTCACCATAGCACATACCCTCCCCAATGTCTATCACCCAGCCACCCCATCCCTCCCACCCCCCACCACTCCAGCAACCCTCAGTTTGTTTCCTGAGATTAAGAATTCCTCAGAGATATGAAGTTTCTAAAGCTGAAAGTTGAAAATATTTTTTGGTAAGTTCAATTTATTTTGTAATTTTTTTTCTTTTTTATTTGAATTTGCTTATATGTAGATCAGTTAGAAAATTCGTTTTAAATCTGATAGAATATTATGAGTCTTAAAAATGTTGGAGGTCACTTCATCTAACTCCACATCCTATCATTCAATTCTATTTCAATATCCCTTAAATTTTGCAGAGGATGGGCATCCCTGAAAAAGCAATATAGTTGCATTTCTAAATTCCTTTTGAAAGTGCCACTTTTAAAAATTATGCTTACAGTGAAAACTGTCTATAATAGATAACCCTTCCTTGAGAAAATGTTTTTCAGTCGATGTTTCTGAAAAGGAGTCTGATAGTTACATGAGAACTCTAATCAATACAACTTTCCGCAGTGATGGAAATGTCTGTAATTTGTTCTGTTCAGGATAATGATTACTAGTCATATATGGGTATTGGCCACTTGAATAGGAACTAGTTCACAGAACTGAAATTTGATTCGGTTTCAGTTTCTATTTAAATATTCACTTGAATAGCTACTGCATAGGAGAGTTCAGATGTGATGGACAGATGTTATATTCAGTTTTGAAAAGTCTGGGATTAACATTACTTGCATTATTTGCTGAAAGGACTCATGCACTTTGGCAAATGTTTTGGTAGTTTCTAAGCAGCATATGAGAAATTGTGAAAATTTATGGGCTAGTAACTTATCAAAGAAAATGTTAAACCATCCATATGCGTTTACATTTAAATACCATTTTAAATAACATGAACTGGAGATTTAAAATTGGGGAAAAGTAAATTGGCTGATTAAAGTATTTTTTTTTCATGATTTATATTCATCCACATCTTCCCTTAAAAAAACTCACATAGCAATTGCCTATCAATATATTGCTTATCTACCTACTTATCTATCATCTATTTATCCGTCATCTATCTCTCTCATCTCTCTATTATGTATCTATCTTACTAGCTTATCTATAATTTGAGTACTTATACACTCAAAATAACATTTAGCATTTTACTTGCAGTATCTCCTATTTTTTTCAATAACCATGTGATGTAGGTGTAATTATATGCAGTCTGGGAGAAGATAAATGAATTTGCCAAAGTCAGTAAGTCAGTAAGTGATAGTAACATATTTAAATCATTGGGTTAATGTTAACCACTTCTCTTTTGTGGCAACTAAAATTTATTACTTAAAATAAGGCAATAGAATATAAATAAGCCAAATTTTATCATTGTTTTTATTTCATTTCTAAAAATGCACTCTTTACTTTTAAATGTAGAATATGGGAGAGAGAGTTCTATTATGGATATATCAATTCTTACAGAAATAGAATAAAAGTTGAATAAAAAGTTAATTAAAAAGTATAAGTAACCAAACTAATGAAAATTGGATTTAGAAAACCATAATCGTCATACATATTATCATTATATAAAGGATATGAGAAAAGTGTTCCAGAGCAATAGATGACTGTGGCTACATACATTTTAAATTTTATCTTTTCTATATATATTGTGTGTGAGAGCTTTTACATACATAGACCTATATTTATATATACATGTATATTATATATACATGTATATAGCAAATAATTAAGTACGTTAAATATTATACACATTATCTGATAAGTATTTATATAATGACAAGTTAATAGCAAAAATAAGTATATAATTTATTTATTTGAAGCCTCAGACAACTTCCGAAATCTTCTAACTGATCCATTTAGGCAAGATATAGTTTTCAGTGCTCTGGGTCTCAGAGATGATTCCACTTAGGGTGTCCTTCTGTGCTGCTCATCAGGAGATATCAGAAGAGGCCAGAGAGCCATGCACTTGAAAGAGTATCATGCCATCATCTTGAAGGTCAACCCCTGTTATATAATCTTTGCCAATTCTCTGGTTACATCATAGTGCTTTCGTGTATTAACTACCTAGTTAACAGTACAGATGATTTGTAATTTACTCCTTTTATATTTAAAGGTGAAGAGTTGTAAACAGGGCTTGAATTTAACTTTGCAAATTCCTTTCACTTGCCATTAGTGTCCCTCATGCTGATATCACCTTCCTATATGCGGGCACTTTAGAGACAGACTGACGTTTTTGAGAGCATAAATACTTTTGCACATATTTCCTTATGGAATAGAATCATAAGTAAAACTGAAAAGAAATTAAGAATGTAATCAAGTTCCTACTGTTATAAATGAGGAGACTTTGGGGCTCCTGGGTGTCTCACTGGTTAAGCATCTGCCTTGGGTCAGGTCATGATCTCAGGGTCCTGGGATCTCTGGGATCAGTTTCCTTGCTCAGCGGGGGTCTGCTTCTCCCTCTCTCTCACACTGCCCTTCCCCCCGCCCCCCGCTAGTGCTCTCTCTCTCTCTCAAATAAATAAATAAAATCTTTAAAAATAAATAAATGAGTCTTAGATTCAGCAAAATAATTTATTCAAGGACACAACTCTATACGTATAGTTTCTATTTGTCTTTAATAAATACCAGATTGTCCTGTCTCTTCTAATCCCCTTATTTTTTCATCCCAGATTTCAAGATAAGGAATTACCAAATGGGCCAAGAGAATTTCACAGCTATTACTGAATTTATTCTTTTGGGACTGACAGACTGTGCTGGCTTGAAAATTAGATTTTTTGTGTTGTTCTTGGTGATTTATGTCGTTACCTTGGTGGGGAATCTGGGCATGATTTTCTTAATCCAGATAACTCCCAAGGTCCACACACCCATGTACTTTTTCCTCAGCTGCCTTTCATTTGTAGATGCCTGCTATTCATCTGTTACTGCACCGAAAATGCTGATCAGCTTCTGGGTTGTGAGGGAAACCATCTCAATCTCTGCCTGCATAGTGCAGCATTTATGTTTTGGGGTGTTTATCACCACAGAAGTCTTCTTGTTGTCAGTGATGGCATATGACCGTTATGTGGCCATTGTCAACCCTTTGCTTTACAGTGTAGCCATGTCTAAGAGGAAGTGTGTAGGGCTGGTCACTGGGTCATGGATATGTGGAATAATTAACTCATTAATACACACAAGCTTCGGCAGACTGTCGTTCTGTAGGTTGAATGTTGTTAGTCATTTCTTCTGTGATATTCCCTCACTCCTAAAGCTGTCATGTTCTGATACTTCCATGAATGAATTGTTGCTCTTCCTTCTCTGGAGTCATTGCCATGGCCACCTTCTTGATTGTGATCATTTCCTACATGTTCATTGTTTTTGCTATCCTGAGGATCCACTCAGCCACAGGCAGACAGAAAGCCTTCTCCACCTGTGCCTCCTACCTGACTGCTGTGACCATATTCTATGGTACCTTAAGCTTTAGTTACATCCAGCCAAGTTCCCAGTATTCCGTAGAACAGGAGAAGGTGGTTTCTGTGTTCTATACACTAGTGATTCCCGTGTTAAACCCACTTATTTACAGTCTGAGAACAAAGAGGTAAAGGATGCTGTGGAAAGGGCCATAGAAATGAAACATTTCCCCTGTTAATTTCAAGTCCCTGCTAAACCTACAACAGTCCACCAGTCAGTTCTTACTTCTGTGAATTCCATGAATGCTAAAGCTTTTAAGGATTGTATAGATCTTTTCATTCTACACACTTATTTGTCATAGGAGGCAGCCAGAAAAGGCAAGCTATTTAATTCATATAGTTGCATCACAAAAACAATAGTTTGTCATATAAATCTTCTGATATTCTAGGATGTGAATCTCTGAATCAATGCAAAATACTTTTTTCATTTATATATTTTTTGTGATTTAGAGAAAATAATTGTATAATAACATTTGTAGTTAAGGACATACAAATAAGGTATTTATTAAAAAATAATTATTTTCTCAAAAAATCCAAGATTATAGCTATAATTGTATGGCTGAAATTTGCCTTCATTAGCTTATATTTTAATCTAAAGAGTGGTTGTGATATTGCAATTGGTAATAAGAAATATATATTTGGTCTTCACCCAATTTCTGGCACAGAGCTCCAAAAACCCTTGGAATTTGGCAAGTGATAAGAGCAAAAAAAGATGTCTTTTATTATGTTAATGAGGTAACTTTTGGAAAGTACCTCAGGATGGGGGCTGTTGCTAGGGGAACTGACCATGAATAGATGGATGGAAATTTCAGTTCTACCCCCTGATTTCTGGCAATGGGAGAGGGGCTGGAGGTTAAATCAATTATCAATGGCCAGTGATTTAATTAATCTTGCTGTGTAATGAAGCCTCCATAAATACCCAAAAGAAATGGGTTTAGAAAGCTTCCAGACTGGTGGTGAACTTCCAAATGCCACTGTCCCAGGCCTCAAACTCAATGAGGACAAAAGCTCCATTCTTTGGGACCCTACTCTTATGTATCTCTTCATCTGACTGTTGATTTGTATCCTTTGACATTCTTTGTAATACACAGTAATCTAGTGAGTAAACTGTTTATCTGTGTTCTGAGAGCTGCCATAGCAAATGTAGCAAGCCCAAGGAATGGGGTCATTGGAACCTCTAGTTTGGACTCAGTTGGTCAGAAGCACAAGTAACAACCTGGTCTTGAGTTGGGTTGAGTTGTGGGACTTCTTGCTGGTGGATATTTCTTGCCACTAACAGCAGAATTAGGCTGAAGAGGGAGACTTCCTCAGGCTGCCAAGAACTGTTTGAGCAATGTCAGAAGCTCTCAGTTCTGACCACCAGTATGTGATATTCTGGCTGAAAATTACATATGGATTTAACTGTGAAAAAAAAATGTGGGAAAACCATACACACACACACACACACACTGAAATTGGAGTACAGAATCATTCCATTTCAGCTTTTCAAAAAGCTTGTTATTTGGTCCATGTTTCTTGCTTTTCTAGGTCTTAACTCTCTGAAGAGGGAGGGTGGTTGCCCTATGAGTACTTTTGAGATTATAACAGGAGCCTCAAGATTTCCCTTTCAGATGTTTCTGTTCTAGTTCTGTGTGTAGGATCACTTAAAGAGCAATTTTCTAGTAAAATTCGAAAACTTCTCTCCCTTTTTATTTATTTATTTGACAGAGAGAGACACAGTGAGAGAGGGAACACAAGCAGAGACAGAGGGAGAGGGAGAAGCAGACTTCCCATTGAGCAGAGAGCCCAAGGTGGGGCTCGATCCCAGGACCCTGGGATCATGACCTGAGCTGATGGTAGACGCTTAACCGACTGAGCCACCCAGGCGCCCCAAAGCCTTCTTTCTTTTCAAGCATCCTCTTCCTCTTCATTCAAGATTTAAAATAAAAAAATGCCAAAACATGGTTGAAACATCATTTACAAAAATTCCATTGAATACACTTAAAAATCAGACTATGTAAGCTAACACACACTTACTGGTTTAGTTCTGCAAGTACTCAGTGATTTGATAGCTTTCCTTCACTTAATAATGTCAACTTTTACTATTAACAAACAGAAACAAATCTGAGGGAAAGATATTTGCATTAACGTTAAATTAAATTGAATGAAGTACAATTTTTCTGTAGTTTTGAGTTCTAACATTGTTAAGGTTAGTAGTTGCCATCTGGGATCCTCAAAGCCCATGAGTCAATTGAAGAAATATTCAAGTGATTTTTTGTTGCTAATTTATAACTGATAAGCCAAGCATATTCAACTGCTTAACAAAAATCTCTATAAAAAAACTGGGTGCCTGGGTGGCTCAGTTAGTTAAGCGTCTGCCTTCGGCTCAGGTCATGATCCCATGGTCCTGGGATCCAGCCCCATGTGAGGCTCCCTGCTCAGCGGGGAATCTGATTCTCCCTCTCCCTCTGTCTGCTTGTGCTCTCTCTATCTCTGTCTCTCTTAAATAAATAAATATTAAAAAAATAAATAAACAGGAAAAAACATTTCAGATATTCCTCTGATAAAATTGTACAAATTTACAATTGTAAAATGATTGTATTTACAAATAGATTTTGGAATGTACATGATATGGATATGAATTGATTTCAAATATTTATAATAATCAATCAGGAGAGATAGGAAGCTAGTGCCATAAAATTATTTCCAACAACAATATAATAACAGTTATCATAACTCTAATATTATTAATAAGGCATGCTGTCAATATATATACAGAAGACATGCATAACTCATTTTATTGTATTTCACTTGATTATACTTCACAGATACCATCTTTTTTTTTTTTTTTTTTTACAAATCAAAGGTTTGTGGCAACCCTGCATTGAGCAATGGTATATTGCACCATTTTTCCAATAACATTTGCTCATTTTGTCACATTTTGGTAATCCTCACAATATTTCAAACTTTTTCATTATTATTATATTTGAACTGCTGCAATCTCATAATAAAACTTGAATGGATGTGAGGCAGGTAGAACAGGGAAATATTGGGAAACTACAGGAGGAGGAAGGGCTGGGAACAAGGTGTCAGGTCAGCATTTCCCTGTTCTACCTGCCTTATTCTAGAACTCCCCCAGTCTCCAGTATGGGATGGACTTGTCTCTTCTGGATGAACAAAGAAAGAGGTTCTTGTGAGATGGACACTACTTCTGGTAAAGATGCTGTGAAGATTGTTGAAAGAACAACAATGGATTTAAAATAGTACATAAACTAATTTGATAAAAGAAGTACAGAGTTTGAGAGGATTGATGCAAATTTTAAAGTAGCTCTACCGTGGGAAAAATGCTATCAAAAAGAATTGCATGCTACAGAGAAACTTATTTGTGAAAGGAAGAATCCATCAATGCAGCAAATTTCATTGTCTTATTTTAAGAAATTGCCTCAGCCACCCCAGCCTTCAGCAACCACTGCCCCATCAGCAGCCAGCAACATGGAGGTGACACCTTCCACCAGCAAAAGGATTATGACTCTCTGGAAGCTCAGAGCTCCATCAGATCACGGTTAGCATTTTTATCAATAAAATATATATTTTTTAAAGATTTTTTTAATTTATTTGACAGAGCTAGAGAGAGAAAGCAAGCACAAGTAGGGGAAGCAGCAGAGAGAGAGGGAGAAGCAGGCTCTCTGCTGAGCAGGGAATGCAATGTGGGACTCAATCCCACGACCCTGGGATCATGACCTGAGCCAAAGGCAGAGGTGTAATGGACTGAGCCACCCAGGCGCCCCAATAAAGTATTTTTAAAAATTAAGTTATGTACATGGTTTTTTAGACATAAAGCCATCACATAATAGAATACAGTGTAGTGTAAACGCAACTTTTATAGGCACTGGGGGATTCATTTCACTGACTTTAGTGTGATACTGGCTTTGTTGTGGCAGTGGAAGTTAATCTGCAATATGTCCAAAGTATGCCAGTACAATATATTGAGTATTGTCCTGATACATGTAAATATCCCAAGGCTGCTGACCTCAGGGATAGGCAAATAAAAGGAACAAGGTACAACTCAGGAATGTCTATCAACCCCATAAAAAGAAACTTCATGAATCAACCCTTATAGCTTGTCGTTGACAGAGCTGCTGAAAACCAGAGGTGTTACCAGAGACCAAATGGGGAATCTGGACTTATTTTTCCATCTGACAGTCATAAGGCAGTTCCCTCCTCCCCTGCTAGAGCATTGTCAGAGAAAGTCAATTAAACAGGCAATATAATATAAAACCCAGTATCATGATATAAAATGTTCAAGTTTCAGATCTGTAAAAGACACCAGACACCAAAGTACAAATATTGTATAAGTACACTTATATGAAATCCCCAGTGGGTAAAATCATAGGGGCAGGAAAAAGATTGTTGTTGCTTGAGGCTGGGGTTTGGAGGTGTTGACAGTAAATGAAGACTAACTACTAATAGGCACAAAGCCTCTTTCTGGGATAATGAAAAGGCCCTAAAATTGATTGTGGTATTGGCTGTACAATTCTGTGAATATACTATAATCATTGAATTGTACACTTATAATGGGTATGTTGTGTGGCTTCTAAATTACATCTCAATAAAACTGCTATAAAAATAAAATTAGCAACAGGAAAAAAATCAATTTATGTGACTGTTATAGATCTGAAATCAGGAGGTTAATCTATATAATCCACCCTGCAAAAGACAGAAACCACATTTATTTAATAGGTATTAAGTTCTTTATGGCTAGACAAAAAATGTGAAGTTTGATGACTTCGTAAAAAATAAAGCCTTGAAAGATATCTTTGTATTGTTCTATTTCTAAATCACTTTTTTGAAAATAAGTTTATAATTTCTATGGAATCAATGTGCACTGTGATGGCTGAGGAAAAATTCTATGGAGAGGTAGGTTTTAAAAATGCCAACATTTTCTATGACAGAATAAAAACTGAATTTTTCTTTTGTCTACTCTATGGCTGACCTATTTCTTTTATTGAGTTATAAATCAATATACTGAGCTATGAATTATATAAATAGGCAGATCCCTCTGACCATATATTTTGCTATTATTTCATGCATTCTGTCATGTAAGTTTTTTGACATTTAAAGAATATCATACAAAATATTTTAATCCTTATCATCAAGGAGGCAATAAAGGTAAGATTGACTGTAAATGTAATATGAACTT